GGGCCTCAACAATTAGAACAGGGTTTGGGGACCCATTCTACTATATCTATAATAATAAGGAACCCCCAAAATAGTGTATATGGTTCTAACCCGCATTATACTATATGTATAATACGGAATCCCCCAAACAGGATTGGTAAATTGGTAATCAATAAGGCCCCTAAACCCTAAACCCTAAACCCTAAACCCTAAACCCTAAACCCTAAACCCTAAACCCTAAACATGGCCCTCCCAGGTTCCCCTGCGTCAGAATTCCCTGCCGCTCTGTCCTGGAAGGGTTTCGGGTTTAGGGTTTAGGGTTTAGGGTTTAGGGTTTAGGGTTTAGGGTTTAGGCCTGTAAGGGCCTGAATACTAACTTTTTATTATTTTGGGGGGCTCCTTACTATAATCATAGTATAAGGGGCCCCAAATCCCTATTCGAACTACTAAGGCCCCTGTATTAGTTTCAGGAATCTTCCTTCGTTAAATGCTCTTGAAATGGAGTCGGGGCCAGAAGGAACTCAGTGATATTCATATTATAGATCTTGTGACATGACTTGAGGCACGCCTGCATCCGGTCGCACTTGGTCTGAAGAAGACAACACACCCTGAGGACCCGAAATGGGGGTTTCCGAAAATAGGGGACCCTAATAGGCCCTAATATAGTACCCTAAATAATAGGATCCCTATTATAAGGACCCCCAAATAAGGTACCCCTAAATTTCGGAAACTCCCAAATTTGCCCCAACCAATAAAGACCACTGTGTCCTCCCAGCGGCGATGATCCTGGAAGTACGCGCAGTTCCTCACTCGGGCGTTGGGGACTGCCGAAAACCAGCTTCAATGGTTTAGGGTTTAGGGTTTAGGGTTTCGGCCGGGGTGAAGGGTTTGGGGGTTGGGGGTTGGGGATCAAGCATGCTCAGAACATAATGCAATAATGCAGATGGCTGGGCAAAAAACCGCACATACAAGTCCCGCAACCTTTCCCGGAATGACTTTCAGAGCATAAGCGACACCTGGGTTCCCTGTTTCAGCCAGATCGCAAACTCCTCAGAAACATTGTAATCTAGTGCCCGCTTCTAGTCATAGTTTAGAGTTTAGAATTATGGGGACCCCTGGGGATGTAGACCCTCTCATCAAGGTCCCTTTCAAGAAAGCCATTAGTAGGGTTAAGAAGGGTCCCCTTTAAGGGGTCTCCCTAATGCCACCTAGGAGTAGTTCAAGAGAAGATTGCCACTTCTAGAACACACTGGCAAAAGATGATAACAAAAAAAACTGTCGACTCGAATCGTTCAGCGCCGAGCCGTCAAGCTGGCGCAGCTTTATCTTACAACGATTCCAACGAACCCTGCACCCTACACGTAAACCCCAACGCTAAATCTAAATCCTACATCTGACCCCATAACTAGCGTCCCCGAACTCTGCCCGGTCTCCCAGCACCACCCTGGTCGTGGTAGGAACCGTGGCTGTCCTCGCCGCAGACGGTCGTCTCAAAGAGAAGGGGACAAAGGGAGAGAGAAGGAGAGAGAGAGCGAGAGAGTGGCCAGGCGACGGGAGTTGTGAGGGCGTCCTGGAGTTCAGATGTTGGGACTCAATCCAAAGCACGAGGCCTTAATAAGCAGCATGGGATGAATATCTACTTCTTCACGGGCTACTCGTGTAGGCGGTTCTTGTCTGTGGGCTTAGCTCCGAACTTAAAATTCAGATGCTCTCACCCCAAGGCCTGTCCTCTTACTTCTCTGAACCCTCAAACACTAGCCAAAACCTGTTTCTTTTGCCTTGAGTGCTTTCATCCAGCCCTTAGACCAATTAGGGTTCAGGGTTTAGGGTTTAGTGTTTAGGGTTTGGGGAGTGACTTAGAAACGTTCGGGCAGTCCGACCCCACGTAGACGACGGGATGCTCCGTGTCTTCGACGAGCTCGAACTTAGTGCAGTGCAGGACTCGTCGGCGCGTCCTTGCACCTTTTAAGGTTTCTTTCAAGGGTTCCTTTACGGGTTCCTTTCAGGATTTAGGGTTTAAGGTTTAGGGTTTAGGGGTTTAGGGTTTGGAGGCCTAGATAATCAGAATAGGCTAGTTAGGGTGTTGCGGTACCCTCATCGCTGCAGTCTAAAGCCTCGCCCGAATCTTCATGGTGCTACCAGGGGGCGCTTCCTCGGGCTCTGGTGTAGGAGCCGCTGTGCTGATGGAACCGAACGCGTTCCACTTGGTTGTTCCTTGCCGGGTTTTGGGTTACGGTAGTTTGGATTTGTGGTTAGGGTCCATAGCTCAAGTGCCACTGCGGCTGCTGCTTGTGCCTCCGGCGTCAACCGACGGTAAAAGCAGCAACAACAGACACAAGCACCACGGGATGATTGCAAGCTGAAAACAATTAATCGCTTCCCCCTATTATTAAAGCCTCCCCTAATATTAAAACTGCCGCC